TCCAACAAAATCAGAATCTGAGTAATCTACCACCTCAAGGTGATTTGAATACTGAAAAGTGAGCATGTAACTTTCAACTTTCTTTAAATATCTCATAATTTTCTTAGCTGCTCTCAATGCTCTTGCCTTATATTTGACTTTTGAAACCTACTAATCCAAATCACTTTATAGCATACATGACAAGATAAATAAAATTTATCCCACTGATTTTTAAGATAAATGCATTGATCAACTGTATTTTCAACAAAACCAAGAGAAGTCACAACCTTATGATTTGATATCTTCTTCTTCGTCATTTTTCTTTATTCAAGAGTTGGAAAAATCCTTGATTGTATTGTGTCATTGTATGATTGATATGTAAATTTGCATATAATAATGATAACAGGAAGTGGGTAGTAGGAATTGAAATTGAAATTGAAATTGAAAGGGGATGACAATGGTGTTGCTTTTGTTGTCAGTATTTTCTTCTTGGGGTTTTACAATAATTGCAATGGAAGCAACGAGCTGTGGATTTTGATTCGTTTAATAAATCAGAGAGTTGTTGAAGAACAAGGGAAAGAGAAGGATTCAGCTTCAGCGAGTTACTTCAATTTGACTTTTTTTTGAATTTCTATCATTTTTTTTTGAATTTCATCACTTTTTTTTAGTGTTTATCACTTTTTAAAAAATTTTATCACTTTTTTGAGCTTGTCACTTTTTTATTTTATTTTCTGTCACTTTTTTTGAACTTGCATCATTTTTTATTGTCACTTTTTTTTAAATTTCTGATACTTATCTGAATTTTTGTTCACTTTTTTTGTATGTCACTTTTTTTAGTGTTTTTTACTTTTTATGTTATTTTTATTGAAATTTCTAGTACATGATAAACATTACTTTTTAATAAAAATGAGATTATATGTCAATTTTTTAATTAAAAAAATGATACTTAACTTTAAAAAGTGACACCGTGTCAAGGAAAAAGTGACACTTAATTTTAGATAGTTCCAAAATATTTTTCATATGATTTTTCAAAACACCCATAATTTCAAGGGTAATTTTGTGTAAGTCGTTTGATAAAAAATGTATGTACAAGTTTAGCTCAAATTCTACTTTAGTCCAATTAACTTAGTTGACAGCCCTAGTCCAATGATAAACAATCTAAATTTAGTTAAAGAAAAAATTCATATCTAAGGTGTATTCTTTATCTCAATTCAAAAGTAAG